GGTCAGCCCCACCATTTGTACAATTTTGAATCCCTGCATCCCATGAATGCTTTTGATTAAATATGATCGATATCCAGTGCATAGTTCTACAGAAGAAGTCGTTTGTAGAAATATAGCCAAATTACCCCTTTTTGGCCCCGCCCCTCAGCCCCCTGGGGGGTCAGCCCAACCATTTGTACAATTTTGAATCTCCACAACCTAGGGATGCTTCCAGTCTAATATGGTTGATATCCATCACTTAGTTCCAGAGAAGAAGTCGCTTAAAGCAGTTTAGCCAAATTGCCCCCTTTTTGCCCCGCCCCTCAGCCCCCTGGGGGGTCAGCCCCACCATTTGTACAATTTTGAATCCACACCACCTAGGGATGCTTCCAGTCAAATTTAGTTAAATTCCAATCAGTGGTTAAGAAGAAGAAGTCGTTTAAAGAAATTGTTGACGGACAGACGACGGACGCCACGGTATGGCATAAGCTCACCTTGGTCCTTCGGACCAGGTGAGCTAAAAAGTTATAATTCTTACATAGGTTTTAAGTTTTGGGAAAATTGGTAGATTAACTTAAAACTTTCCAGAATTACAATTGGTGAGGGTAGTCTAGGCCTGTCGTACCTTATCTGGGTCTACCTAAGCTAGTATTTCTTTAATGGTGGTGGGGATGTTCTATTCACATGGAACATAAAAGTAGATACCTTCAAAATCAGTTTTCAAACATTCACTTGATGTCAATACACCGAACACACTAGTGTATTTAAAAATCTCTCTTAATTACGATTCCTATCAGTAGAATATACTATAATCTCTTATTTACCATTCCAGTCATAATCTCTTACTCACCATTCCTGTTTGCAGGAGGTTACGGAGCTGCTGTACAAAGACAGGCTCAGGCCCGCCTGTTGGGGCAGTAGTTGTCCGGCCAGACGCTGTTGAGGAGGCAGATGTAGTGGAGCCGCTTGTGGTGTTCTGGTTATTTCCTGCTGCTGGATGAGGGCCAGTCTGTCCAAACATTGAAGCCATACCTGGAAAAAATGGCATGCCAGCTGGCATACCTGGCATTCCAGCCATACCGGGCATTCCAGTCATCCCTGGCATTCCAACCATCCCCGCTGGCATCCGTATATTTATCCCCGGTGGTGGAGCACCCCCCATGGCTCCGAACAATCCTGCAAAGGGGTTGAAGGGCATGGAACCAGCCCCGGTACTGGAGGTGGTGGAGGAGGTGGCTGTGGAGGAGGAGGTAGAGGAGGAGGAGGAGGTGTTTGTCTGGCTGGTGGCTGCTTCAGAGGCAGATGTCCTGCCTGTGGTTTGGTGCCCCATTCCCTGGAGGTGTGGGTTCACCTCTCCAGCCAGATTGTTGAGGAACTCCCCAATGAGACCCCCTGCATTGACTCCTTGACCCTCTGGAGTGTTGTTATTCTGAAAAGTCAAGGTCTTTCTTTTTTAATACATGATTATACAGGCTATCAGGTTTTACCAAATTTGAAAACCCCTTGGGTGGAATTTCCCTATCCTTCACCCCTGGGCATTAATTAAAGAGTCTTATATTCTTTACTGGACTGGACTAAAGCGTGATCCTACTGGCCAGGAATAAAGCTTTACTTAACTGTCAACAGATAAAGCTATACTTCACTGGCCATGAATTAAGTTTACCTCACTGGCCAGGGAAAAACTTTACATTGTTGGCCAGGAATAAAACTTTAATTAATGATTAATTGATTAATTCCCTTTGCACATATTTTAATATTTGACATTTTCTCATTTTACAATATGGAAATCTTCATATGATTCTTATCAAACACACCAAATCTGAAAAAGTATTGAAGACTGGGAGAATAATTGTGGTCACAAGGTATAGAAACACATGGATAAACAGAGGGATAGCATTATAATATTAAAATGAAAGCCTGTTTTTCCATGATTTAAGAGATTGCTACATTTTTGTCTTTTTCAGTAAGATTATGTTTCCAATTTATTATTTAATCATTAACATATCCATTCTCCCACAACCACTATTGTTTCCTCCATTAGTAATATACTTCCAAGGTATAACATGTGATAAACATGTGGGTTTAGTTAGTTATCACAATCATGACATTACAATGGTCTATCTGACAGCATAATCACATTGTAATGTCAATTTCCTTACTCATTCTATTCTGAGGCTGAACTTAAGTGCTTGCAAGTGAAAAATATACTTTCCTGGACACATATTAACATTCCGGAAGAAAAATGTCACATAACTTTCTAAGAAAGGTAAACATGTTTATCTAACTCTTGTAATTTAATTTAACAATTTTATAAAGATACTCAGTTAACCTTGTATATTTTAACAGATTGATTATGAACTAACTCCAGTAAGAAAAACATTAAAACCAACCATAATGATGGGAAACTCCTATCAAGCATTGATTACACATACTAGTATGTTGTTTAAACATTTCACATTAGTTATGTCAAGTTAAACTGAGCCTTACATTTCTAGCCTGGTGCCGGAGGAAGTGACGAGATGCGCAGGGAAGGAAGGGGTCCACAGAGGCAGGTCCGGCGTTGGGAAATCTAGGCATCATCCCAGGCATACCCGGCAAAACAAAAGCTGCAGCATGTGGTGCCCGCATGCCGGTCTGTGTCCCGGAGTTGTTTGTGGGCGCGTTTGGTGTCTGGGTGCCAGAGGTGTTTGATGGCCCAGAAGCAGGCGTGCTGGTCTGTGTTCCCGAGGAGTTTGAACTCTGTGAGGTAGTTTGGCTACCAGGTTGAGCTGAAGTGGCAGATGATGAAGAAGGAAATGAACTTCTTCTGAAACGTAGACTGTTGGGATCTACGCCTAATACATGACCAGGACCAACTCTTGGGCCTGTTTGAACGAGAAATCTATAGATCTTCAGGCCTACACTAACGTATGGCATCTCCATCCCTAAATACATTCAGTTTCTAAACATTTCCTCTATTTCCTATTCTTCAAATACGATTGTTTACTAAATCATTCTAGCAATGGAATGTTATATTTGTACTATTTGATCAGTAAAAAAAAGACCTTTGCTGTATTTAGCCTGATGTAACACTTACAGGCCACTGGTGATTTGATGTCAACAATCTGTGTCTATAGCTTTTGTTTCTTAATGAACACCAGTTATCTTTCCAAGAATGATAACTTTTTGTCTTTCACATGTAAACCATCACAGTATTCATTCACCCACATACCATGTAACACCTAGAATATCCTCTACTTTTTTTAAACTGTATGTTATTAGTTTTTAGTCTGTTACATTAATGTCAGAATCTAATCTGGAGGAAAAGGGGCAAGCCAATTTTAGTTCCAGACATATGCATGTAATAACAAACACCTGAAATCTATACCTACCTGTATGGGCATGCATGACTGAGCTGACGATGTTGTTGATGAGGTCCTGGGTCACATTGTGGCCTTGAACATGAACACCCTGTGGTGCTGTGTTTGTGGAACCTACAAGTAGAAGTCCATTCTAATAGGTTTTGCTGAACATCCTTATATCTTATGCTTAAGCTGACATGTTATATAAGCAATGTTATACAAGTGTAAGAGGCGGCATATAGACCCAGTATAGCAAACATGTCGTTATACATATAGACCCAGTATAGCAGACATGTCGTTATACATATAGACCCAGTATAGCAAACATGTCGTTATACATATAGACCCAGTATAGCAGACATGTCGTTATACATATAGACCCAGTATAGCAGACATGTCGTTATACATATAGACCCAGTATAGCAGACATGTCGTTATACATATAGACCCAGTATAGCAGACATGTCGTTATACATATAGACCCAGTATAGCAGACATGTCGTTATACATATAGACCCAGTATAGCAGACATGTCGTTATACATATAGACCCAGTATAGCAGACATGTCGTTATACATATAGACCCAGTATAGCAGACATGTCGTTATACATATAGACCCAGTATAGCAGACATGTCGTTATACATATAGACCCAGTATAGCAGACATGTCGTTATACATATAGACCCAGTATAGCAGACATGTCGTTATACATATAGACCCAGTATAGCAGACATGTCGTTATACATATAGACCCAGTATAGCAGACATGTCGTTATACATATAGACCCAGTATAGCAGACATGTCGTTATACATATAGACCCAGTATAGCAGACATGTCGTTATACATATAGACCCAGTATAGCAGACATGTCGTTATACATATAGACCCAGTATAGCAGACATGTCGTTATACATATAGACCCAGTATAGCAGACATGTCGTTATACATATAGACCCAGTATAGCAGACATGTCGTTATACATATAGACCCAGTATAGCAGACATGTCGTTATACATATAGACCCAGTATAGCAGACATGTCGTTATACATATAGACCTAGTATAGCAGACATGTCGTTATACATATAGACCCGGTATAGCAAACATGTCGTTATCCATATAGACCCAGTATAGCAGACATGTCGTTATACATATAGACCCAGTATAGCAAACATGTCGTTATACATATAGACCCAGTATAGCAGACATGTCGTTATACATATAGACCCAGTATAGCAGACATGTCATTATACATATAGGAACAGTATAGCAGAGATGTCGTTATACATATAGACCCAGTATAGCAAACATGTCGTTATCTTTAACAGAAAAAGCCAAACTCATAATGTGTTGACCTATGACCCTGTGGCCCATTTTATCATTCCCATATGATCATATCCTATCTTGAAATGCAGCCAGTGCTTTAAACAAAAGTTATTCTTCTTTATTTTTATTTTTTTAAAAATATATTTCATACCCAGGATTTTTTAACAAAGTGTAAAATGTGTTCAAACCTTGAAGTGGGGGCAACAAGAGAATGGGTTGACTTTATACCGGAGTTGAGGGAATTCCATTGTGTTACAGATGAAGGTATGAATGATTTTCTAAAAAGTTCTGTCATACATCGGGGGATAGTGAAATTGTCTTGGTTACGAGTAGCATATGTTGATGTTTCAGAACGGAGATTAGGAAGGAGTTCTAACAGATAATTTGGTGTCATATCCTTTTTTATTTGGAAAAGGGTTGATAGCTTAATATGTTTACGACATTTGGATAAAAGTTCACATCCTGTCTCAAAGTAAAGCGATTCTCTTGATGTGTCTACAGGTAGGCAAGTACCTACTCGAGCTGCAAGTAACTGAACTTTCTCAAGTTTTTCAGAATCTTGTTGAGAACACCCATCCCAGGCTACCGATGCGTACTCCAATAAGGGACGAATATATGTTTTATAAAAGACAGATAAAGAATATCTAGATACTGAATATTTAAGTTTTTTAAGTAATACTAGTTTTTTGTATGCTGACTTGGCAATATATTCAATATGGTATGACCATCTGCCATCACTGGAGAAATTAAGACCTAGATGTTTATGATGTTGAACAAATGGTAAAGTAAAGTTTTGAAACACAATATCAGGTACTGTAGTATTTCGTCTTTTTGAAATTAAGTTCATATTTGTTTTTTCTGCATTGAATTTCATTAACCATTTCTTTGACCAGTTTTCCAAAATAGATAGATCATGATTTATACAAGTTTCCATCTCTCCTGTGATTGGAGTTGATTTACCCAAGGATGTGTCATCAGCAAATAATCTGCTTATACTCAACATATTTTCAGCAACATCATTTACGTATATAAGAAATAAGAGAGGACCGTGTACAAACTCCTGGGACACTCCTGCTGTTAGATTAAGTGAGTTTGACTGACAGGACCTATAAACAACTCTTTGTTTTCTATCTAATAAGTAACTTTTTAACCAATTCAAAATATTCGTAGTTACACCATATTTTTCTAATTCCCCTTTGCCATACCCTATCAAAAGCTTTGGTTACTGAGATCACAAAAGACTATACAACAGTCTTGTTGGTTGTCCAGAGCAGAGACAATACTATGGTAGATTTCCAAAAATTGGAATACGTTGGAGTTGCCTAGTAAGAACCCTAATTGATATTTGTAAAATAAATTATTGGTGTGAAAGAAGTTATAAATATTCTTAAAAACTTAACGTTCCAACACCTTACTGAAACAATTTAGCATCAGTCTGTATTGACCTGTACTAGGTCCGGAGGTGTTCGGGACTTCCTGTTCTGAGGGTATGGGATGGAGTGTTACTGAGTCTGTATTTACCTGTACTAGGTCCAGAAGTGTTGGGGACCTCCTGCTCTGAGGGTATGGGATGGAGTGTTACTGAGTCTGTATTTACCTGTGCTAGGTCCAGAAGTGTTGGGGACTTCCTGCTCTGAGGGTATGGGATGGAGTGTTACAGAGTCTGTATTTACCTGTACTAGGTCCAGAAGAATTGGGGACTTCCTGCTCTGAGGGTATGGGATGGAGTGTTACTGAGTCTGTATTTACCTGTGCTAGGTCCAGAAGAATTGGGGACTTCCTGCTCTGAGGGTATGGGATAGAGTGTTACAGAGTCTGTATTTACCTGTACTAGGTCCTGAGGTGTTGGGGACTTCCTGCTTTGAGGGTATGGGATGGCGTGTTACTGAGTCTGTATTGACCTGTACTAGGTCCGGAGGTGTTGGGGACTTCCTGCTCTGAGAGTATCGGATGGAGTGTTACAGAGTCTGTATTAACCTGTACTAGGTCCTGAGGTGTTGGGGACTTCCTGCTCTGAGGGTATGGGATAGAGTGTTACAGAGTCTGTATTTACCTGTACTAGGTCCAGAAGTGTTGGGGACTTCCTGCTCTGAGGTTATGACATGGGCTGTGATACTGTTTACAGTAACAGCATTGTCTGGTCCCACCTCTAGGAACACGTAGGGGTCGGTACTGGCACGGGTAACAACAGGTGTGGCCCCAGGAGCTGGGGAAGGTGTCGCAGTTCCTGTGGACTGACCAGAAGTCTGGGTGGAGGGTGTCTGAAATGATGAAAAGTCTTTTACTACATATAAAAAGATATATACATGTACTAACTTCTTAATCAGGAACATCGTTTTCGCTGAATCTTTTCTTGAGCATTACAAGCAACAACAGTGAAGGTACAGGTACTTATGCATCTCCCATCTCCCATCTCACATCTCACCATCTCACATCTCACATCTAACATCTCACATCTCAAAATCTCCCATCTCCCATCTCAACATCTCCCATCTCCCATCTCACATCTCACCATCTCACATATCTCCCATCTCACATCTCAACATCTCCCATCTCCCATCTCAACATCTCCCATCTCCCATCTCACATCTCAACATCTCCCATCTCCCATCTAACATCTGAACATCTCACATCTCACATCTCAACATCTCCCATCTCCCATCTAACACCTCAACATCTCACATCTCACATCTCCCATCTCACATCTCAACATCTCACATCTCCCATCTCACATCTCAACATCCAACAACAACTTTTTCATTCTTTGTTTAATAACACTTTGTGATTCAAAGTTACCACCTTAACTTGTAACTCCCAAAGGGATGCTGGTTATATAAAGGTGTGAATCTTGAACTATGTAAATAATTGGTTACAATCTGTCCAGCTGAAATGAAACACAAGACACTAGTAAAAGGCACTACCGGTGTACCAGACTAAACTACTGGCACGTGACACAAGTGGTATACTGTACACTGGTACACCACACAAAACTGGTATGTCATACATTGGTACATTACCTGTGAAGCAGCGTTGCTTGAGGCCTGTGATGTAGATGTGGCAGCAGATGAGGTTTGCACAGTGGACTGAGTGGCAGTGTTCCTCTGGACAACCTGGGGCCCTCCAACATTTATCTGTGCCTGAAACACACAAGGTTCAGCTGTCAGCAATGGTCATATAATGGCTCAGGTGTGTAGTCTGTTGTATGACTGGTTACTTACGTGGATTGGTATGGTTAGTTGTATGATTGGTTACTTACGTGGATTGGTATGGTGTGTTGTATGACTGGTTACTTACGTGGATTGGTATGGTGTCTTGTAAGACTGGTTACTTACGTGGATTGGTATGGTTAGTTGTCTGATTGGTTACTTACGTGGATTGGTATGGTGTGTTGTGTGACTGGTTACTTACGTGGATTGGTATGGTTAGTTGTATGATTGCTTACTTACGTGGATTGGTATGGTGTGTTGTGTGACTGGTTACTTACGTGGATTGGTATGGTGTCTTGTATGACTGGTTACTTACGCGGATTGGTATGGTATGTTGTATGACTGGTTCTTACATGGATTGGTATTGTGTGTTGTATGATTGGTTACTTACGTGGATTGGTATGGTGTGTTTTATGACTGGTTACTTACGTGGATTGGTATGGTGTGTTGTATGACAGGTTACTTGCGTGGATTGGTATGGTGTGATGTATGACTGGTTCTTACATGGATTGGTATGGTGTGTTGTATGACTGGTTACTTAAATGGATTGGTATGGTGTGTTGTATGATTGGTTGATTACATGGATTGGTATGGTGTGTTGTATGATTGGTTGATTACATGGATTGGTATGGTGTGTTGTATGACTGGTTACTTACATGGATTGGTATGGTGTGTTGTATGACTGGTTACTTACGTGGATTGGTATGGTGT